CAACCCCCGCCACACCCCACACTGTTCCTGCACCCAACCCCCTGCCCTGAGCCCCTTCCCACACACTGCACCTCAATCCCTTGCCCTGAGCCCCCTCCCGAACTCTGCACCCCCTCCTGCACGCCAACCCTCTGCCCTGAGGCACCTCGTACATCCCACACCCTCCTGTACCCCAACCACTTATCCTGAGCCCCTGCCACACCCCCTCCCGCACCCTAACCCCCTGCCCCAGCCCTACATTCATGGCCCTGCATGCAATTTCCCTACCCAGATGTGGCCCTTGGGCCAAAAGATTTGCCCACCCCAATTTAGAGCGTCTTAAGAAGGGAGCCCCAGCATGATGTCACATAGATGCTGTATTCATTAGTCATCGGTACAATTTTGTAAATGTCTTACATGCAGATATTTGTTTCAGTGATCTAAAAGATCCAAATGTAATGGAACTTGATTTTATCTTGGAAAATAAAATAATCCGGAGGAAGGTTATGGTGAATTAGATGAATGTGCCTTATTTGTAATAGTAACTTTTTAACAACAACAATCCAATGAAAATTAAACCATTAAAAATACATTCAAACAATATTGTAGACTGAATTTTAGCTTACAAGAACCAGGAAATTCAGAATGTGAAAAATCAATTACCTGAGATTTCTAGATAAATGTAGGAATGTAATGTAACACCGAGGTATCAAGTTTTCCTAAGCACCGATGGGATGAGAGATATCAGGAGGCCAATTTCTTGTTTAACGCAAATAGGTACAGCCCCTTTGGTTTCAGTGGAAAGTTGTCTGTTTACACATGCTAAGAACTTGGCCCAGAGTTTCAACCACTGAATTTCCCTGTTTTCATAGGCAGCGAGTTCCATATCCACGTGGTGCTCGGGCACCAGCAATATTCAGAGCCAGGGGCCCAGCTCCAGCAATACTTGGGGCCAGGTGCCCCCAGGCCCGACTGCTCCCTGCCCCCGTTCGCCTTTCACGGCCCCCAGAGCAGTGTCCCTGTCTCTTCGGTGTGCAGCTCCATGTTGCCTCCTGGCAGCAACTGCTGCCGCAGGGTCCTAGTGCCCCCCAGCTCCACTGCCATGGCAGATTGACTCTGAGCCTGCCCTTCCCCTGCAGACCCTTCCCTTTTCCAGTGGGACCCTCCAGCAGCACAGGGGGTCCCCCGCCCGCAGTCACTGCTCCTGCCCCATGCTGGGCAAGGAAGCAGCCCCATCCCTCACCCCCAGTGCGGCTACAGTCAGGGGCAACAGCAGGGGAGGAGGCGCACGCAGCACCCCCCGGCACCCACCACGGGGAGGCGAGGGAGATTCCTGGACCTGAGAGGGGCCCTAGGAACACCTGCAGTGACAGTGGTGGGGTGAGTGTGCTGCTGGGGCGGTATTTGGTTATAATTCATTTTCCATAGTATTTGGCTATCGAAATAGCTTGCAGAAGGGTAATGCACACTTTGGTTTATCATTTTCTCTCTCTGCTCTTCAGGTAAATCTTGCTACTGTAGCAGTCGTTTGCCTCAAATACAGTAAATGCAATTAATTTAAAGTGTACAGTGTGCAAAGCCTAGGAATTTAGTAACACAAGCCTAGGAACTTGGTAACACAACACAAGGTTTTCAAACGGTGGAGCCTAAAATTCGGTGCCTACATAAGTAACTTGGTTTTCAGAGGTGTGAGATGCCCATATCTCCTTTTGAAGTAATGGGGAACTGAGGTTAGTCAGCAACTCTGAAAATCAGGCCACTCTGATTTAGATGGCTAATGTTAGGGTCCTACATCTGAACATGTTGGCCGCAAATGCCAGTGAGTCTGGCCTTTTTCCAAACATGAATTGATTGTCTACTTCCCAAGAGTGTGGAGAGACTTATAGACTCATAGACTTTAAGGTCAGAAGGGACCATTATGATCATCTGGTCTGACCCCCTGCATGCTGCAGGCCATAAAACCGTCCCTACCCCTTCTTAATCATAATCTTTTTATTTTTCCAGTAATAAAACATGTTTCTGTCCAAGCCCCTAGCGCACTTTACTAATGTGTAAACAGCAGCACACAGAGATCAAATGATTCGCCCAAGGTCACACAGCAAATCCAGACTCTTGTTCCAACCACTCAGATTCATTCACAAAAAGAAATCATGAGTAAATCCCCCTATACGTCAAGGCTGAAAATTTTCTACTTAAAGGCCTCCGTCCTGGAGTCCTTATTGTGACCAAACACCCAGGGCCCAGTTCCTCAAGTGGTGTAAATTAACATCGCTCCACTGAAGCCAATGGGACTATGCTGATATACATCAGAGGCAGGTCTGGCTCATTGATTTCAGCAGAAATTAACAGAAAGTTGGTAGGAGGTTTGCCTGAGTAAGTAATTTACGATTGGGTGATGAGCATGACATCATTACAAAAGATGTCACGTTCATGTTACGCATAATGTTATGCAGGCCAAATTTTTTAAACTTGGGTCCCTATGGCTAGGCACCTAAACAGGAGTGAACTTAGTGGGAGCTGTGGGTGCCTATTACATCTGAAAAACAGCCCAGATCTCTTATGCAAGTGACTAAATATGAATTTGGGTGCTTAACTTCAAGGCATTCCCTCTGAAAATGTTTAGGCATAGTGTATCATTACAGTACATGATATTCATGCTATACTTTATGAAGATAAAGATCTCTAAGATACATGGTTGCAAAACCTGTAATTTCATATGCTAGAAGAGCTACCCAGACCTTAGGTAGCTAAACAGCTTTCTGAAGTAATTACACATTTCTGGAAGTACTTACAATAAAATCATAGTGTGCCTCGCTTGCATTCATGCAGGTGAAAAAACCACTCATCTTTCCTATGAGATCTCCTAGGCAGCAACCAGAATGCCCCCAAGGCTGTCCTGTTAGTCAATTATAAGTACTTCCCCAAACTTATAATTACAGATGAGAAAACTAACGGAAGTGGTAATGGCTTTTTTCTTCTAAACTATTACGACTCTGTTGATTAAGAAAAACTATTATAATTCACAGTAACTTATTATGGCAGCAGGGCCGGCTCTGGCTTTTTTGCCTCCCCAGGCAAAAAAGCCTCCCGCTGTCCCCCGCCCCCCCGGCAGGGAGCGCGGCAGGGGAGGGCGCCGAACCCGGCTGCGGGCCCGCTCTCCCCGGCCGGCCGGAGCGCCGGGGGAGGGCGGCGAGCCCAGCCGCAGCCCTGCTCTCCCTGGCCGGCCGGAGCGCCGGGGGAGGGCGGCCCCGCTCTTCCCC